GCGTACCTGCTCACCTTACGCACGGAAAGGGACTGGGTTGGAAACGGTTCTTTTCAACCTTCGCATGAAGTAAATCACAACAGAAAGGGTTTTACTCTGCCCATAAATTGTGGAGCCCATATGTAACCCCACAATACTGCAGTACTGCTTATACGACATACCTTGAACGAGAGCAGTCTCTTCGCCAGTATCCATCGGCTCAGTTTCCTCTATTTCGCACTTCTTCGGTTGCTGTGCTTTCACAAGACAACATGCAGCATAAAGTAGAAGAGCTCGACTAAGATTAGTGCTAAAGAACGCATTTTCAGTTCTACAACACCAACAAAAGATCTCCGGAAGAAACAACACAGTCAACTGACCATTCCAAAGCCATTCTTTCACATTTCTCTAAGGACCCAGGATGAAGCTGATCGAAGCGTTTAATGAAACCACACAAACATGCAAATCCCTCTTCGCCAACTTTCGAATGGGATTTGGTGAACACAAACCCAAGAAGATCAGTGAAATCTTCCTGAAACAGTTTCATTGATCAGTACTCAGATGGCAAAGAAATGAAACTTCTGAGTGCAAAACCATTCGAAAACAGAATAAATCCGCCAACAGCTCACCAAGGCAAACGGTAATTCGACTAGCACACTATCAATGAAGGTCTCCACGTCGACACGGCCTTGCAGTGCTGGCCCAAAGACGAATTCGCCGAAACGGAAGAGGTCAGCATCGGGGTAATTTCTGGAAGAAAATCTTACTCAACCACTTTCACTCCTGTGAAATAAATGCCGCTCGCGCTTAAAAAATGCAGTCATGCCAATGACGCTAAGAAGAAGTCAATCTCGGAAGGACATGCTGCCGTCTACGACCAGATTATAAGGCGCGAATCACAGCGGCAAAATGGAACGAAATGTTTATAAGACCCACCTTTCCCACAGAGAGCTGCTCATAGATTTGCAGTCGATGAATCCCAGGAACTCATTCACGGTCATTGGAAGTGGTCCGTCCCTGAAACAAAATTAACGACGAATATTTACTAGCAGTTGAAGCAAAAACTGTCATCACGCCCCCCTCACACAGTGTAGGTTGTGGGTGATGACATCTGAGTCGAGGCAGCGTATATAAATGGGAGCTAGTGAATCGTTAGTGCTCCACGACTATGAAGAATAGGAGAATTTGATAATTCAAGAAGAGAGGGTCACGGGTGTCGATCAGCAGAGTGAAAGAAATGGAGAATCGCTGATTCTCCTCAGGCGCGCAGAGGAAAAAATCAACTTAACCGCATTTTCAATTCAGTCTAAACATCTATCGCGACGCAGTGCCCAGGAACTTCCAATTCTTACACCCTCTTCACTACAATAAGGTTGTGATTTCCAAGAAGAAAAGTTCGATGACAGTTAGAGAGACCATAAGCTCAATACTCACTCATCGCCTTCGACACAATGCCTGCGAATGACGTTCTGTACGTCCTCATTAAAATGACACTCAGGAGTGTTTCCAGTCGTCTTCACAATTTGTTTCGTGTATCTGACGATCTTGTTGAAAACGTTCAGCTGCCGTCTTACGAAGCCAACTAGTTCTTCTACAGGACCAGCACCGTCTGTCTAAACACAGTATGGAAGTTCTGCATTCTCCGAGTCATTTTGGACTTTCTCAAATGAAAGGCGTTTGTGCTTGATGATCAGCAAGCTGAAAATCAAGGAATGGTTCCGAAGCGCTAGTGAATTGGCCCGGTATAATGATAAATGGCATCGATTTGAATTTACCATATAATTCGAAATTCATACTACTAAGTGCGTTTTCTTCAGCTTTATTGTAGTCAGTCACATGAAAGGGTGCCGTTGGTCAAACAAACAATTTAACAATTAAAGGCACAGTTCGCGACCGCAAATTGCGGGAAACGGAACTCAAATAGGCACAAAAAAGTGCTAAGTATCTGATTAGCGGAGAAAAGCAGCAGAAAAAGCAGTCCGAAATGTTATAGAGAAAGATAACATAGTGGCTACTAGCTAGTAGCTAGCAGCCGGTGAGGGTCGGCATGGGCCTAAGGGGTGTCCATGGGCCTAATTAGTCAGCTTCTAGCGGAGTTCTTGCCGTTTTTCACATTTTGAAAGTAGCGCAGCCTCAAAAATCGCCTTCCGGATCGTCCGACATTTGAGAGGTCATAGCCTTATTTTATCGCGGAATGTGCCTTTAACTGACATGTTTCCATGGGACATTTCTTTTTTTAGGCCACCAATATCCAGTTTTGGGTTGAACAAAAATATGGATACAGTTTTTTCGAAACAGCAATATCCCACCAAAAGCGCAGCCCCGTCACGTTCAAATGAATTACACGCCACACCCACAACATCTCCGCGATGTGAAGTGTAAAAATTGTCAAGGTTAGGTCAGCCTCAACGTCGAGCACTGAGGCAAACAATTTGACTACTGTCTGCGGTACCAAGAAATAGCCTCGAAAGGAAACCAACACCAGAGTGTTCTGATACCCTACCTTAGGGATAGCATCCAAAACCTTTTCAAGCCTCAACGAGTCGTTGACAATAGGGAGAACAAGTAAAATCAATTCACGCTTCGATTTCATCATCCGGAGCATTGAGTAGACTTCCATGAAAGAGTCCAAATTAGGCGAAGATGAGAACTAAAATGTTAGATTTACAAGGTTAAACTGAATAGTTGGTAGATATGACAAGCCTTCGATAGTAGTAGTTGATCGTGCTGGTCCTGCGAAGTGACACGAAGCATTGAAAGGTGAAACGGAACCACTAATCGACAAAATTTTCCCTGAAATATATATATTCAAAAAATCGCGGAGATACTAATTATAGATTGTAAAACACTTGCCTGGCTATCTACAAAAAAGGCATCGCGTTGAAACTTAGGATTATAAGGGCCACATAGTACAGAAGCGTCTCCTCCATCTAGTAGGACCCCAGCTGGGTCCACGTGTACAGCACCAACTCTGACTCCGCTCTATAAAGAAACAATTGAAAGAACACAGTGTGGACATATTTTTGGAATATCATTTTTTCATCTGAGGTTGGAGACCACGGTTCTCAATAACTTTCCCGTCATTCTAATGCATTGGCAACATTTTGGTTTAAAACAGAGATAGAATGGAAACGAGTTTCAAACAGCTCACAAGGAAAACAGTTTTGAAAAACCTGCGAGCTCTATGAAAAAGCATTCTTCGAGAAAAGATTACCTGTACATTCCACACTTCTAGCAATGCCCTGCGTGGAGCGAAGATTGCAAGAAACAACGCAGTCTGTTGGTCGTTTGAAGAGCTGATCCACGCGACCGTGGCTTCCCTGTAGCCTTTCCAAATCCTAACTATTTGCCGATTAGTGATCTAAAAAGACATTTTTCTCTCTTGCAGCATTTTAGCTGAGTGCACTTCACGAGCTGCTATCATGAGGATTGTGCAGGGACAGCAGTAAGAGTAGCGGCAAGTCAGATTCAGTTTTGCCAGCCAGTCTTCCACCAGTTGTGGTCGCCTGCAAGCTTCCACAATTAGTGGAGAACAGTGCGACGCTGCCTTAAACTCAGCCCCCCCCCCTTGACACGCCCCAGCGTCCGCAGCGAACACGGCTGTGACTCTAAAAAGGTAGTACAAAACTTACATCTATCAGCACCACTCTGGCAATATGATCTACAACAGCAACCAGTCCTCTTGAGATATCTAGCGCAGTTTCTACAGCAAGTCTGGAATCGTCCAACGTTCCACGCGTTGTGATCACATGAGAAGGTTGCGACACAGCGTTCTTTTTTCTCGGCGTTGAAGAGAACCCAAGCATATCGCGAAGTCCAAAATGTGGTACAAACTATAAACGGGTCCCTATAATTGAGAATATGAGGCACTTTGCATCAGACAACTCACCGATTTGCCGTATTTTATTGCTTCCTGCCAGATCTTCTTTCTATCAGCTTCCGTGGTCCATGCAAAAGTTGAAAAGACTTTGTCAGAAGTGTGCATATAGGTGTAATAGGGTGGAAGCGCTGCACTGCTAATAGACTCCTAAATACCGCCTTAGTTCCTTTACTGCTGAGCCCACAAACAGACTAAAATGAAATGTGGAAAATTACATGATAGGACGTCATGGAAGCATTTAAATACTGCTGAAAAGAAGACTGACAACGCATTCCAGTAAATAAAACATGCCGGAAGCCGTTTTTGCTAAAAATTTGTAAATGCAGTCAGGTTACGAATCGTGGTTAGAACGGCAACATATGGGTAGAAGGTACAACAAAGGCTTACCCTCTTTCAGGTTTTAATCGATCAACATCGATTTCTAAGCTTTTGGACAACTCCTCCGCAGTCTTTTCAGATTTCGCTATCTGAAAAAGAAGGAGAACATAAGGGTAAGAAAAGCACTCAATTCGAAACAGTGATGAATCAAGAACCTACAGCAGATTTGGCTTTTAGCAAGGTAGAATGAAGGCTGATCGGATCAACAGCGAAAAAATCTACGGATGTAACCACGGTCAGCTGTTGAATATCCTCCGTTTGATCAAAAGTAACATAATAAATTTCCGTTTCAGAGAATTGTTCGTAGAACAGAAGCACGCCTAGAAATAAAAATCAAACTGGCATCAACGAAGAACTCGAGACTAATTCTATGAAGAGGAAAGGTCAACAGGTCAGCCTGGCCATTTGCAATGAAATGCATATCGTTGTACCCGTCTTGAGACGGTGAACTCAAAACTATCTTCAAAATTTGCGGAACGATTCTCTGAGCGGAGTTAGAGAGGTTTTTCTTCACTGTTTTTCTTCTTCGGGCGCGCTGGCACCGAAGCGTTGGCACCAGTAGCGCGACTCACAGCGCTCCTCGCGCAAAATAGGTATCATATTCGTATTCAGGGGGTCAAATAACCCCTAGAGACGAGACCTCAGCGAAATCTGAGGTTCTGGCTCAACTTCAAAAAATGGGGTATGGATAGTCATGGCTGACTGATAGCTAACAGCGATACTATGACTAGCATACTGGTGATGACTGGTCTTCGAACTGAAATAACTCTTCAGTCATGTCTTTTTGTAAACAACAGTACCTGGCTTACTTATTTGTGCCGTCTGTCCTGCAGGCATTTTTCTTTGACTGTCGGGAGAATCCCATATCCAGACCAGCATCGATGGGTAGTGAGGCTCCAATCTGCCTGCTAATTACCATGGAGTAGCCCGCATTTTTTTCAACGGTGAGGGATGCGAAAAAGATTTGTCGGGTTACGAAACTTGTCCCTAGGGGTATTTAATACCGACTGAACAATGAGATGCGAATGAGTATATTCAATTGCAAAAAACCCTCGGTGACACCGTGGTTAACGAGAGAGTGCCGACATAGGCCAGAGTACTGCTTCAGTGCCACAATGAGTCTACACTTAAATAAAACTGTAGGTTCATAAGTCAAGGTGACGCGAGCAGGATAGAGTGGGCGCCAGATGTTCACTCAAAAATATAAGCGAGTGCCACTGACGGCTAAGACGCCGAGCTGTTAGAGCTTGCGGCCGGGGGGGTATAGGAGTCTTGGGAGGTCAAATGCAAAAAAAAAAAGCAAGGGCGAGGCGCCCCGGTTCACCTACGGTGCGTCTCGCCTAAGAAACCCGCTCTCTACCCGTTGCGCTCTACTGCCACGTTTCAGCATGACTCCATACATAAATGTAAAGACGCTTCCACGTTTCCTCGCGATAGCATGTGAAACGACCACGCGGGGATAAGACCCTCCATAACTCCGTCCAGAGAATCGTTCCGCAAATTCTGAAGGTAGATTTGAGTTCACTGTCCCAAGACGCGTACAACGGTGTGCAGCTCATTGGAAATGGCCAGGCTGACCTGTTGACCTTTCCTGGTAAGAAGTAAGGCGAACTAACCTCTATCAGTGAAGAAAACACGTGGTCGTTAGACATTTCCAACAGCACAATTAAGCAAATCTTTTCAGCGCTGCGGAAACTCCGATGACCAGTGCCGAGCCAATACAATGCAAACCGCCATGTTATATTGTCCTAAATATCAGCATAATCAGGGCAGCACGCATCGTGATGTCTGAGATGTATTAGGTTGTCCGGAAAGTTCTTAGCGTTTTGTGCACCTAATCTTTTGTACATTCACTGCTGATTAAAAACTCATTCTGCCTTGCTTCTCAGTAGCACATCCTGTAGAGAATTTCTTGCGCTATCTGATGGTATAATTGCCGTTTCACCATTGCTTGATAAACCCCCTTTTTTCAAGATTTTTTCAAGCATGTGAAAAGAGCACTTCGGACGATTTTTTTCTTCGACTATAAATTGGGCAATCCGCAATCGAAACAGCTCAACAAATTAACCAGGTGTGGGCCCAATAGTGCTAGAGAAAGCACTGTGCGGCAATGGCTCAACAAATTTCGTTCTGGAGATTTCAGCCTTGAAGATGAACCTCATAGCGGTCGACCTAAAGCAATATCTGACGAGGATTTTAGGGGATTTTGGAGGCTGACCCATCCCAAACAGTTCGAGAGATAGCAGAAGAGCTAGGCCTTGGCAAATCCACTGTTGCAGATGGTCTGGAACGCATTGGGAAGGTGAAAAAACTCGACAATTGGGTGCCCCACAATCGGAGTGACCGGCAGGAATCGGCACGTCTCGAGGTTTCCTTCTTCACTGCTTTTGCGCAACAGAAACGACCTGTTTTTGGACCGAATTGTCACCTGTGATGAAAAATGGGTCATGTATGATAACAGGAGACGGTCCAGACAGTGGTTGAATTTAGACGAACCACTCCGTAGGCGAATTTTCAAAGCCGAACCCTCGAAAAAAGATTCTGGTCACGGCTTGGTGGTCATCGGCTGGTGTGATCCACTATAACTTTTTATCACCAGGCCAAACCATCACAGCAGAACCCTACTGTGAAGAAATCGACGAAATGTACCGAAAATTTTGTCAGATGCAGCCAACACTTATCAAAAGAAAGGGTCCGATTCTTTTGCATGACAACGCCCGCCCACATGTTTCACAAATCACTATCCATAAAATGACGAAATTGCGGTGTTGAAGTATCTACTCTCAACCGCCATATTCTCAGACCTTCCACCAACCGAATATTCCCTTTTCAAACATTTTCAGAACTTCCTTGCTGGGAAATACTTCATCAAACAGGACCAGGCAAAAAAGCCTTCGTGGATTTCGTGAATTTTTGACCACCCAGTTTTTTACTTTGATGGGATTTCTCGACTGCTGTCACATTGGCAAAAGTGTGCTGATTCGAATGGTGCCTATTTCGATCAAATCCGATGAGTATGAAAAAAGTTACGATCGTTTGAAAGTGAAACACCCAAAACGCTAAGAACTTTCCGGACAACCTAATAGAAAGCAACCCCCGGCCGCTTCCGAGAGAGAGTGAAAGTACGACGCACCCCCTAAATGAGGGTCTCGTCGATCCCCACCCCTTCTCCAACACCTACCTATCATTTCCTCAGTCGCAGTTTCTCACGCCAAAGATTTTCCGTCGAGGCGGGGCGGGGAGGGGGGGGGTGTATAGTGCACATGAAACAGGAAAAATCACGCAAAAAGTCAGCAACCGGAAAACAACGCGACAAATTTCTCTCAAAGGCACATGCCCCTCTCCAACAACCAAATAGCGGCCCGCCCCCAGAGAAAAAAATACGACCCCCTATTTTCACACAATTGTACCCTGAATAATACCTGCCTGGGGGCCTATCCAACCAATGCATGCTGAGGGCTACCGAGCATTTTTGCAACAGAAACGCCCCCATCAATATCCACACTTCGAACAACATCGCTACCTCTTCGGCAAATCCCTAGCTGATTAATTCTAATTCTTATGAGAACATTGCAATTCACAACTGACTATCATCCGATACAGACCTGAGAAGAAATCAGGCTGAGATAAAATTCACTCCCCTCCCCATAGGTTGAAACATCAAATATTGCATAGGAGTACAGTGCCAACCTGGTCAAGAGAGCAAATCGTTGCTGATTAAGCAGTAGTATATAAAAAAACTTTCTAAATGAATTATAGGTAATTACATAGCATTGTGATAACCATCCTAGCGGTGCTTCGACGACTGCGTCAGATGGAGGTAAAACCTAAATATTTCTAAAGTGTTGTCAAAATTAGTGCTGTTCACAAAATGACATTTGTCCTTATGAAGACCGGGTTTTCTTTTTTTTTTCCGAGAAGGTAAGGAAAGAGAAGAACAGAGTTCCCAGCCAATGAAATCAAGGGTGCATTGGTCAGCTCATCCAAGACGGGGATCCAGCAGATCGTGGAACTAATCGAGTAGCAGACAAAAGTTAGCAGTGCACGTGAGGAAGCTGTGAGAAAACGGCCAATCGGCTACCATCCAAGGCTTCTGCAAATCTATTAGGCATGTTCGAGATGGAAAATTCAAAGTAACGAATCCCAGGAAAAAAGAGTGTCCTATTGCTAGTTCGCAGGCTACAGTGCTTTTCGACTGCTTCCTAGGAAGCTTTTCTTCAGAAGATTAAGAGGAAGAAGAACAAATTCAGCTAGGAAGCTGGCCGTGTTCCGTTTTCTTTTGCTGCAGTGGGGCTCCCTTATGTGAGCACTAGCCGCAGACCTCCTCCCTTCCGCAGATACGGGTTCGTACCTTGCCAAAGGTGGCCTACAATAAGGTATCTGATCTGCACAAAAAAGGAATCGTGTAACTTAAAATCTGGCAGACTCCGCTGGGAAAATGCGAATATGCAGAACAGGATAGAACAAGAACCACTCATGAGAGGCAGGGAACTTTTCTGGATATTCCTTTCTCGCGGTTTCTCCGATTCCCGAAATCCGGACTTCAACCCGGGCTTCTCTGATTCTCTGGTTTCACAGGGAATGAATGCGGCCTCAACAGTCATCAGAGAAAAGCGTGTTTCTGAGTCAACTCGGCGCCGTCCTCATTGAGGCTTTAGCTCTCTTAGCCCGCATCCGCATAGTTTACTTCTACGTGCAAAAGCTGATGAATGCGCTGAAAAATGGTCATGGACCATCCAGTATTCCAAGAAAAGGAACGGTTGGGTCCTCTCAAAAAAGAAAGGCACCGAATAATAGGAGGAAAATAAAATGTAAGAAACACAGTGAAACTGCCAAACCTGCTCTGAGAATTCCCAATCCCGAACGCCAGCAGGTTTTTCAGGATCACGTAAATCTGGTGGATCATCTTCCTCACTGCTAGTACTCACACTTCTTTTGACAAAGCGATCTGAAACATGCTAGGATTAGAAGTAAAGCAAGAACGAAAGGTTTGCCAAAGTGTGGTGGGATTCTGAATGAAAGTTGTACTCACGTGACTGATCATTATCGCCGCCTAGCAAGAAATTCTTTACTTTCTCGGCTAATTCCTTTTCTAAGAACAAAGTGTGTTCTAGATTGAAAGAGACGGCCATAAAATTTGTAACTATCTCTTCTGGAAGTATAGGGTAAGAAGTTTAGAACGTTTGTTGGATACTGAGTGAAATTCTGAAAAACACATTTCGTACATTTTTTTGCCTGCGAGAAATGAACAAACTACAGAGGATTACGTGAACGACAACCTTTGACCAAAACAAAACAATGACAGCTAGAAAAATAAGAAAAACGAGAAAAACAACTTCAGCTGAGTTATGTTTGTCCACCTCAATTCGAAATAGAGCGCGAATTTCCGCTAATTACACTGTGCGAGGTGTAGCCGCTAAATAAAATGTAATGTGGTTCAGTACACAACATCCACGCCGCCGTTTCGAGTGTGCGCGAGTTTAGTCCGCGTTCGTGCTGTGCGCGGGAGTCCGCGAATCGGGAGATGGGGATAGCGCCAAAAGAAAGTGTGGATGCAGAATGGGAAATTTTCTAACTCGTACAGTAAGCGAAAAGGTTTACTAAAAGATTAGCTACGTTCATACTTTGCGGCAGCGCCACACCGACCAATAGCATCCACCAGCGTTCCGAGCGTTCCGGCAGCGTCAGCGACCAGGAAAGCATAGATATCTATCAAACTCTGTCAGCGTCTACCAGCGACCAGCAGCGTCCGAAAGTGGAGAGTATGGAGCGATATGGGGCTAGCAGACAGTGGTAGCGTATGGGAAGATAGGAGGGTAGCAGACTGCTGGTAGAGAGTATGGCGCGATAGGAGGGGAGCAGCCGGCTGGTACCCTCCTAT